CTTTTTGCTCAGTGGAGAAACTTGGGAGACAAGTCCGACAGAGGATGTCCAACAGTGGGAAAAGGTTCAGGGTGGTCAGAAGAGGAGCTGAATCCAAATGAAAGGAAATTATAATTTGCTGTTTTATGAGTGAACCAGGACCTCTGTGTCATTTATGTGGAGGTCATTCTCCCTCTTCTGTGTACAACAAAAACTAGACATGAGACACATTTAATTTCTCATTCCTAATTCCCATTTCACTTATTTGGATACAATTCAAGTAATTAAGAATACATTTAAAACACACTTCTCTTGAGGCACATTTCAAGGAGAGGGAATGAAGGATGCGGGTGGTCAGGTTTGAATGATTTATGAGAATACTGGCAGATCATTTTAACCAAGGAAAACACATTAGCAAAATGAAGAACATTTTGCTTGGATGACTTAATCAAGCAATGTTTAAAAAATCTGTTATCCAGCAAGCCATTAGGGTTTTCATCCTATTTAGTTAGACAGTGCCACCCTTTGGCAAATGTAGGTACTCATGTCTGCTTGCTGCACATATTCTGCTTACTGAAATGTTAAAGTATATATTTAATGCACAAATAAGATTGAAAGTACAAAATAAATAATGTACTGGCACCTGTTAAGGACAAATGTATTGATTGGCAACCTGTGTTTACATTTGTAAAGAATAATCAGATCATTAGATAGAGCTGCACCATTCATACAGATGGCTTTATAAAACACTTACAGTAAATTGCGAGGTCACGCTCAACATTCACTGAAGGAGTAGTTTTACAGTTATATACCCATTTTTTTCAATTCTGTATTCAAAGCTTTTTCCGTTTCGTTGGAGGACATCTTGTTCTATAACATTCAGATCTTATTAGTTAGGGAAAGTTAGGTATTTTTTTAGCCATATCGTGAAATAATTTATTACCAATAGCTTTTTTTACCATATGTTCCTATAGGTGTCTAGTAACACCTCCCGATTTATCCACAGCCAAATCCTCTGGGAATTGCCTTGAGAGCCAATCAAAGTTAGGGTGCCCATAGGGCGTGGGTAAAAATAGTGAAAAAAATGTTTCTACCAAAAGTGACTTTTGAGATGTCTAACTAGGGGTTTTTAGGGGTGCTGAATCTGTCCCAGTCATTGGTTTTGAGTAAAAATGACTCCAACTCCATAAACAATCCATAAAAAGTGGTTTTATTGAACAATTGCAAATCAAAACTAGCGTTATTAGTTGACATTTTAACAAACCTCATCAAACTCCCCTGCATCTCCCTCACTATTATTATCATCTGGCTGGTTGATGTTCTGGCAAGAGTTACCATGACAGTTCCCACAAGCAGAAATACATTTGACTCCTTGCTTTTTACAGCAGCACCTGAGAGTGCCACAGTCACCTGCGCAGTTGCAGCAGACTAACTTCAGAAGGTAATCTGGTGCCATGGGATCTGTTGTAGGGACTGGTTCATAACCATGTTTTCCTTGTTTCCTTACAGTTATATACCCATTTTTTTCAATTCTGTATTCAAAGCTTTTTCCGTTTCGTTGGAGGACATCTTGTTCTATAACATTCAGATCTTATACAGACATCTAGATAACTTTTTTAAATAACATTGTATATTCAGACCGTTTTCTCTCAAGCACGCCAAATGCTTTTTCTTCTCAACTTGTACCAAGCCCATGTCTCAAGGATTTCTGCTGTACATTGCTTTCACTGAATAGCCACTTGTACATATAAGGATCAAACTCAAATAGTTTTCCTTTTCAGGCTTAATAAAACAGATGAACGATTATTGATCCTGCATTGCACACTTGAATTCCTCTTGCTTTTCTCTATTGATGAATAAAGACATCAACCTCTATAAAGCCTGTGATGAAATAACCCTTTGTGCCTGGAAGAAATGGTGTGCTTTTCATTGTGCTTTGACAAGGGGAACATCTTGTTCAAAAATACCTAAAGCACAAGCCTGCTAACGATTTAAAGCAGCTGGCGGTTGTCATGTGGCCGTGGCAGCTCAGTGTCGGACACCTGTTAGTCGACTGTTTCAAGGGCGCATGCTAGGAACATGAGCCTTTGCATGATTTACAATTTCTCTCCCTTACAATTTTTGAGCTCTGTGCATCAGCTGAATATGTTAATGCTCTGTCCATGGTTGGTCAGAATGTCTTTGTTATTAAGTAAGTCATGGTTGAAAGCTTTAAAGTTAACCTAACTCCATTTTCACTTGATGAAGGTCAATGTTACTAAACCTAAAATTTGATTTAAGTAAAAAAGGGAGGATTTTAATATCATACATCAAAAAAACGTCTTCTGTGCAGTGTGGTGGAAATACCAGAGCCAGCTAGGCTGCAGATTTTGACGGACAAGAACATGATGAGCCATGTCAGCTCGGCACCGGCGAAGTGTGGCAGACCACAGAGGCTAGCGGGGGTGCTGGTAGGCCATCAAATAAGACCCATTATTGGCAAAAGAAAGAGTCATAATAATGCTGCTCTTTCAAAACTCACAACTTAGAATTAGATATTGATTTAATAAGTAACTGATGTTTCCATTAAAACAAATGCAGATAATACTGAAATAATACAAGTTGGGGTAAGCAGAGCATAAAATAGCCTTTCTAAAGACTTAAATAAAAATTTGACCTGGTTGATGTATAGTGCATTGCAAGCTAACATTATCAGCTTGGGTTTGGTCATTAATACACATTGAGAAGGTTTAAACGTCATTGTATGATTGAACCAGGATGGTGCTTTCTGTTATACTACCTAACACATGTACTATTGTGAAAGGCACTGATGAAAAGTTACGGCAATGCTTTTGTGTTCTTTGTAACATTTAATGCCTCAAATATGGTAATTTGAAATGTCAGTAGTTCAAAGTCAGATCAGACCAACCCTGTCCTTTAAAGAGCCATGCAGGCAGGTCTGTAGTCTAACTACAGTATATAACAGCACAAGATCACAAAGAGGTCTGAAAATAGGCTACAGGTTAGGATGTGTGTGCTGTAAATAGTAACAGACACAGTATAGCGTTCATTGGAAAGGGGCCAGTTGCTATGTTTGTTGTATGAGTTTTAAATAAATAAATAAAGCCTAGAGATAAGTAAGCCCCATGTGATCGAAAATCAGGGTCCAGGGTCCAAATCTCCAGAATACTTAACGCTCTCAAGTTGGTTCCACAGTATAATCATTTAATTGGATATGAACATCATCCTATTGCTTTGCTTTAACCTCAGTTCACATGAGTTATTTTAAGCCTGATCTTTTGGGTATAACCACAGAAAGTCAGGGATAAACCTGCTCTGAAGGAGGGTTAAGCCCTGGGCTCAGGGTGAGGTTATCCTACACAATTGAAGTTTTGAGTGTGAAATTACTTGAAACTCAAGGCTAACAGAACCTTCAGCCCTGAGCTAACAGAGGTCAAGGCCTAAGCTAAACATAGTGTGAAAAGTTCATATGATGTCTTTATGCAGTATATGATTACTGATGAAGAAAACAAAGCAGTAATGGGAGACACCACAATTTTCCCCTCAGACAAAGCTTGTAAAAATAGTTGGTTATGGGATTAAGATTGGGTTATTTGATACCACAAAAAAACACATTGTATGCCATAAAAGCACAACAAAATTAATAGTAGTAATAATGAAAATGCATACTATGATATGCCATGAAAATAAATAAATAAAGACAGGTCGTAATATAGTATGTCGTTAAAAAAACATAACAAATTCAAACTATAGTTGGTCATAAAAGAGTCATGCAAAAAGTAATATTATAAATGAATATTATAATTTGCTACGACATAATTAAGAAGTAAAAGTATAATATACCATAAAAATGTCATTAATAAAAGTCTTGGTGTTTTAAAAGTGTCATAAAAAGGTCATACTCCAGTCTGCCATAAAATAATCAAGAAACAATCCATAGTATAGTTTATCATAAACAATGTAATAAATAGGTAATGGTGGTTATCAAAGCATGAGACTGTGGGCCTGTCCTCAGACAAAGCGTGGAAAAATCCTCCCACCAGATGCATAAAAAAGGAGCCCCTTCCCACTTTGGCTCTTGAGCTAATGTTGGCAAGGTGACATTCGAGAACCTTGGCATTCATTTTATTGTTGAGGTGACTCCAAAGAGAGAAGACTGTACAGTGGTGCATGCCATTAATTAGTATTACATAATAAATACGATGTAAAACATATCTTTTGTTGTTTTTATATATATATATATATATATATATCATTGCTTATGGATTTTTCAGTTGTATTATGTTAGGAATGGGTCCTTTTCCTAGGCCTAAGTCAAATTAATAATGCCACAGTCTAAAAATACTTTATCACAAGAACATTTCCTGAAATCAAAATGTCACTTTATTGAAAAATACGTTTTATCAGAAAAATGTAGAACTGTGTGAACAATTTAATTAAATATTTGTCATACTATCTTATTATTCTGCTTTAACACTTATGAATACATGTTGGTTTGACAGTAGTTCTTTAATTTGCCATCAAATTGAGACTATACTCATTTATCTGTATTATAGGACTAGATCATGAGAGCATGTGAAATTATTTCATTGTAAAATAAAATAAAATAAATACATTTAGTGTAGCCAACTAAAAAGGGAAATATTGAGGTGTAGAAGACAACATTTATAACGTTGCATAAAATAAAAGAATGAATGGAAACAATTAAGTTAAATTGTACAGACTACAGACTAGTTATTTTGTGGATGTACAGTAGCTACATATACAGAACTACATTGCGATCCACTGAGGCTTTCTATTTAAATGTGATTTAAAAAAATACATTGCAATATGTGTATGTTTGCATCTTGAGTCAAGCAGACACCGATGATTTTTAGGATAGGTGAATAACATGGTTTTAGTCATAAGTTATTATTTTATTCTGGAAACACGGAGGAAGCAGAACTGATGTCACGCTGTGTGGGCGGAACTGCCGCTTTGTAACTTCCACCAATAGCATAGTTGCTTTGTAAAATATGAAAATGGCGGCTCTCTGTAGTGAGTTTGAGGACCTGGTACAGATCAAGAAACAGCTAATATCGGTGATATCGCTTTCTAAAGAAAGAGGACTCTTACACAGCTCCAAGTGGTGAGACTGACTGCGACCAATGTCCAGTTAACTGCCTGTTTTTCTGCTGTGTTACCTTGGTAACAGAGCGTTAACGTCCGTTCGTCTGCTAGCACGTTAGCTCTCCTGTTGACATGTCTCAAGAAAAAATCAAGATAAAGTCTACAAATTCATTAAATATACCACTATATTAATGTTGCATTTCAGTGAAAAGAGTCGTAATAAATTCAAAACATATGTTATTAAAGTTGTAACGATACATGGTGTTATTCCTTTACCATTACTGTGCTCCATTTGTATTTGTTGTTGACTGCTATCGATTAGCAAATAAAAAGTAACTGGACAAATATGCATTAAAGCATGAATAACCTTTGTGGTACGTTTGCCTGCTGTACAAATACATGTGGCGTTAAAAAGGATTGTATTGCATGGGACAGTTTTGTCATATGCTTCCTGTGTTTACATTTCAGGACTTCTGAATTGGCCTTTGCTTTGGACCCTCTTCCCAAAGATGAATTACCTCCGTCCCATCCTTTCACTGAGGTTTGTACCCTGCCAGGACAGAGGAGTGCCTGGGTTTATTTATTTTTCACAATATAACATTTAACTACCTACAATCGAGGTTTCAGTTTATTCAAAAGTCCAATTGACTCCTTTTTTGGATAACAATTATGTTTTTGGCACAAAGGTAGAAGCTAGATCAGGATTTTGCCAAAAAGACGATTGTTAGTAGGATAGTCCATTGTTAGCTTTGGTATTTTCTTGTGATAAGTTGACAACAAAAACAATAAAGACATGTTTTTGAAGTTAAAGCAAAGTCACACATTGAAGAATTACACAGTATGAGGTATAAAGCTGCAGCTCTTTTTTAGTTGTAGTTAAGTGTGTCCTGTTCTCTTGAATGGAAAAGTTATACTGCCACCTGGTGACAGTAGACTATTCTTCTAAAAGGAAAACAATGAACACAATGACTTTATGAAGTGCTTTTGTGTTCTTCTTCATTTATCTTTTTTATTAAAAGAGTTAACTTGATAAAGATATTTTCTGATACATGTTCTTGTGATCGTCTTTCCCACATACAGGAAGATGCACAGGACCTGGATGCACTTACGCTGGCCAAATCCTACTTTGACCTGAAAGAGTATGACCGAGCTGCTTACTTCCTGAAAGGCTGCTGCAGCCAGAAGGCTTATTTCCTCTATATGTATTCTCGCTATCTGGTAAGATTCTCTAGAAGTCTGGCACATCCTTCGAGCCTTGATTTTATTTCATGACGTTGCTTGTAATGTTTGTTGACCATTTTAAAAGTTCCCCTTCATTTCTTCAGTCAGGCGAGAAAAAAAAGGACGATGAGACTGTGGGCAACCTGGGTAAGGATCTGTCTGTTTGGACATTCAAAGAGAACTACTTTAGTTACTCTTTAACACTAACTTTTTTGTGTGTTTTAGGTCCACTGGAGAAAGGTCAGGTGCGCAATGAAGCCCTGCGAGAGCTGAGGGTTGAGCTCAGTAAGAAACACAACGCAGGAGAGTTGGACGGCTTCACCCTGTACCTGTAAGAACCTTTCATGCCTACTTTCCTCATAACATGCAGAAAAACACAGTGGATAGCTCATAAACTGCATATGTGTGATTGTGATTGTGGGAACACAGGTACGGGGTGGTGCTGCGAAAGCTGGACCTGCTGAAGGAGGCGGTGGAGGTGTTTGTTGAGGCTATTCACGTGCTTCCTCTTCACTGGGGAGCCTGGCTGGAGCTCAGTAACCTCGTCACCAACATTGAAATGGTAACTACAACACGTATCGTAATTAGCATTGTGTCATTAACCTTATGGGCCCAGGTCCAGTTACCATATGAAACCAAAGTCAATGCTCACAACACAGCCTCATCACTATTAATCTACCATTTCTGCCTTCAAAGAAATAGAAAATAACTTTTTGTCATATTGAACCAATGCTAATAAACTCAATCTGAAGTAAATATTTGGGCTGAATTGATTAAATCTGCATTTGTCTCTTTATATCTTCTCCACAGCTGAAGTCTCTGTCCCTGCCAGACTGCTGGATTAAAGACTTCTTCATGGCGCACATGTACACAGAGCTGCAGATGATCAAAGAGGCGCTGCAGAAATACCAGAACCTCATCGAGGCCGGCTTTTCTAAGAGCACCTACATCATCTCACAGATTGCCGTCGCCTACCACAACATCAGAGGTTTATTTCTGCTTTTTCATAGAAGAGTGATGCCTGTCAGAAGAATGTGATGGGGACAGGTTTAGTCTGACAGCACTCTGTCTCTGTTTGTTTCAGATATTGACCAAGCTTTGGCTCTCTTCAACGAGCTAAGGGAGCAGGATCCTTATCGCATCGATAACATGGACACATTCTCCAACCTGCTCTATGTCAAAGTGAGTTGTGATGTCTTATTGTTTATTTGTGAGTCTGATCCCTCATCCCCTGTCCCAGTCCCGTCTCAAAACCCCACCTCCTTCAACTCTGCTTATCCTTAAACCGGCCACTCCCCCCTCTGAACAACAATCCTCCTGACTGCTTTTCTGTTTTTGTTTGTGTTTTTGTTCTTGTTTGTTTGTCGACCTTACTCGTAATGTTAGCAGCATCTTTGGGTTCTAGAAAAGCGCTCATATATAAAGCCCATACACTTATTAGTTATTTTATTATTATTATTGATTAGCATGACGAACATATGTTACAGTTAGGTTACGAGGTCTAATATCAGCTATAGGGCATTGTACAAGAACAGTTAATGGCCATTTATTATATTCCCTTGAGTTGTTTCATGACCTCTGCAAGTTACTGTTTGCAGAGTAGGATCAAAGAACCATTCAAACATCTAACTGTCGCTTTCACAGAGCATGAAGCCAGAGTTGACGGCTACTCTGGCCCACACCTGGTGGAAGATCGACAAGTCAGGGTGGAGAATGCTGCGTTATCGGTAAGTGCTCTGGCATCTCATCACCTAATACCAAATTTACAATTGTCAACAATTAGTGATTAAAACTATTAGTTTGTTGAATATGTGAAAGCTCGCCACTTGCATGCATGAATGTCTGTGTTCCAGTTCACACGTGTATTAGCCTGTTTTTTCTACGCTAACTCCGTGTTTAATATATATGTGTTTAATCTGATCCACAGGTAACTATTATATAGCTTCCGCTCTCCAGCATGAGAAGGCGGCTCTGTACTTCTCCAGCGCGGGCCCTCAAACTGAACCCTCGATGCCTCGGGGCCTGGACCCTCATGGGCCATGAGTACATGGAATATGAAAAAACCACTTCGGCGGCCATCCAGGCCTACAGGTCAGACTGAAGCTGTAGTTAGACATGAGAGCACTTATTTGTGAAGAGATTTCAGATATTAGGATACTTTGTGTTTTTAACTCGTGTATTTTTTCTGTCAGGCATGCCATTGAAGGTGAACAAGCGGAACTACCGTGCCTGGTACGGTCTGGGTCAGACGTACGAGATCCTCAAGATGCCTTTTACTTGTTTGTACTATTATCGAAAAGCTCACCAGCTCAGGTAAAAGGATTTCTGACATAATGCTTTATGTAGGTTTAAACAACAAATGATAAAAGTAAATGCAATGCTCTTACACCAGTTGCTTGTCTTAATAGGCCCAATGACTCGCGTTATGTTAGTCGCACTCGGGGAAGAGCTACGCAAAAACTGAACACAGCAATTTTGAAGCAAAGAAGTACGCACGCTTACAACTCTCCACCAAATCCCACTTTGTGTAATTACCATCACTAAGCTTTCTGGCTTGTTTTGACATTTTCTAATTTGTTGTCTAGTGTTACTGGAGGGCATACTCTGTTGGAGATGTAGAGAAAATGGCTCTACTCAAGTTGGCAAAGTAAGTGTATCACTGTAGCCTGGGATATACAACTGAAGGATCATCTTGTAGACCCAAAACAGTATTCACATCACATTAACACAAAAGAATGATTTGATCACATGGCCTACAAACTGGGAATGAATTCAGATTTTTCTTTTCCCAGGCTCCATGAACAGCTGAATGAGGTCTGATGAACGCTGCCCAGTGTTACATGCTTTACATCCAAGACATTTTCTCCTGTGGGGTAGCATTTGAAGTGTCTGGAATACTCAAGTATTGTAGATGTTCAGAACCTACGGCAGTGTTTCCCCTATATACAAAAGTGGCGGCGCAGCGCCGCTGCTTAGGGAGAGCCAGCCAGGTACCCAAAAAAAAGA